AGAGAGAGAGAGAGAGAGAGAGAGAGAGAGAGAGAGAGAGAGAGAGAGAGAGAGAGAGAGAGAGAGAAACAAAGACAAAGACAAAGACAAAAGCTTGACTTGGGAGAGAAAGTGAGAGCAGGGCAATAGGAAAAACAGACAGAGAGAACGCACAGACTGAAACATAGAGGAAAAAAGATGAAAAACTCGTCTATGCAATAGATGTTGGCTTATCACAATCGATGTTCGCTTATCACAATGGTTTCTGTTATATCCGTGTGATGTTCAGCATATCACTCACAAAAAGATCTATACTCATTTGATCACCGAATGCCCTGTCTCCCTCCCTCCCATGACGTTTTGTCCACGATCATTCTTCATAACTCATTCCCCAGCCACATGGCAGGGCCGCTGCACGCCTTTTGACTTGTGACTAGTGATGACTAAATTACTAATTATTAATTACTAATTAATTTGGTTCCTATTTGAAAGCTATTTCTGATATTTTTGAAAAAGTAAAAGAAGGTTTAATAAAAAAGCAAACAAAATGCACTGCACGATTTGCCTTGGCTGACTGTCAAATCTGATGAAATAAGTTCAGCCAGCCAATGAGGCTTTTCTGCTGTTTTTTTGTTAACCCAGAAAAATAGGTTGGGCCTAAAACCCTAAACCCTGAACCCTGAACTGGTCGGTGAAAACCGAGTCGCATAGGCAATAATCATACGAGGCTTTTCCTCAATGTATCTGACCTCATCTCCAGCCAGACTCGGTCCAGAAACTCCTGGTGATTACCCTTAGCCCATTATCTCGATTCCTTAGTCGTTGAGCAAACTGTAAACCCCGAATGGCATGAGCCCCATTTACCACTATTCTTAGCTCCCCAAAGCTAGTATAACCTACTTGTCCCAATGTATGGGGATCATTCCCTGAGTAATTAAGTTTGTCAAGTCTGTAGTCGTAAACCCCAAAGGGCCCGAACCCTATTTACCATTAGCTTGCAAGACGTGAGGGGTGTGTGCATGTCGCTTGGTCTTGATGTTTGTCGTCCTCTCTTGCCTGATTGAATTTTGATTTGGATTATAGACCTGGGGGTCGGAACAGATTTTGGGCCGTTCAGCCGCAAACCCCATTTATGGTTTGAACCCCAAAGGGCGTGAACCTCCTTTGCCTATAGCGTATGTCCTCAGTGTTGTTGCATTCTTCCACATTGTTTCTCTGTACACAGCAGAAGTCAGGTGTGGGGCCTTGGGGCAGGTGGGTGGATGCGTGTGTGTGTGAGTGTGTGTGTGTGTGTGTGCCGGGGTGGAAGTGGGGTGTGCTTTGATGAATCAGCTGTTTGTGAACAGGATGGCAGATGAACGTGAGGATAGAGAACAGTTCTCTGCAGACGATTTTGCAGAAATTCATCCAGGCCGGCGGATGGTGTTCAGGTATCCGCTGAGGGTAGCCCACCATGTGGCGGCTGCGGGGGACGAAGGATCAGGAAAGGAGGGTGTTGTCCACGCGCGTACATGTGATGGAAATGGAGCTGACATAGGAGTGGAGGGGATTTCGTGTGCAAGTGTCGATTGCTCGCCTGTTGACAAGGTGGGGGTGAGGGACGCTAGCGTGGTTGTTGACCTGATCGTGACGATTCTCGATGCATTGATCGAATCTCAGGGACATGATGAGGTGCCAGCTGGAACACAGGATGTCCATTCTGTTGGCCCACCACGTGTCAATTTTGTGGCCATGGTTGTTCCTATGGGTAAGGAACATGATTGGGTTTACTCCTCTCCCGGAGGCCAATGGCAGTTGCTTGCCAGTGCAGGCGGTACCCGATTGGTGTTGATTTGCTGCACTGACGTGGCACATGATTTGCAAATGGCGATCACAGAAGACGATATCCGCGCTGGGCTTCAACCTCTCCTGCTTGCACTTGCGCCGCGCTCTTGTTTCGACGATTGTCAGCCCATCCCTTTCATCAGCTACACTGATAGCGTTGTCCGGCGGCACGTGTTGGAGGTTGTCGAGTCGGAGATGACAGGGGAGATGAGGGTGGAAGATGTGGAGCTTGACTCTCCGCGAAGGGTGCTTTTGCAAGAGCACGAGAGTCCGCAGGAATGGAATACTAATCGAGGTGAGGAGAGGACGGAGATCACAGACTCGGATAAGCTCGGTGAGTGCAGTCAAGATTGGAAAAGAGTGAGAAGAAGAGAGGGGTTGTTGTTGGAAGGGGAGTCCGGCAGAAGGGGCCCGGATCGAGAATCCATGTCTGTATCGGGGATGTCAGACACTAGCTCTGGAGGCGTCTCTGGAGCGGGTGGAGCAGGTCCGCAAAGGGCTCGCTTCCGACGCAGGCTTGTCTTCAAGCGAATGCCTAATCTTATCCAGAGCGAGGTTGTACTAGTTGAGCCACGGGTCGGCAAAATGTTTGCCTGCACATCCCTAGTTACCAGCAGCAGTCGTGATTGTGGCACGTTTGTGCTGTGTTCCCACGAGGGGGCATGGCGCCCTCAGGGGCCCTCCCTACAGGGCAGTCTTAGCAACGGGCATACAGATCACAGTGATAAAGATGGCTGTAGAAATGACCGTACACACAGTGTCATGGTCGAAAAAGGTGTGTGTGGACGTAAGCGCAACCAGAAGGACCCTACGACTGGCATTTGTGGCGAACGGAAGCATCTGCGGACATCGGCGAATAGGGAAAAGAATAGGGCCAGTGGGGTGCTTGACCCTGTGCAGCAGCATGACACTGACCAGGGGACTGTTCGCCCATTGTCCACTGCCAATGCTTCTGCTGTCAATGCTCCATTCGTCAACGCTTCTGCAGTTAAAACTCCTGGAGTCAACGGCACTGTTGCCAATGCTGCTGAAGTCAACGGCACTGCAGTCAACACTGTTGGAGTCGATGCTGCTGAAGTCAATGGCACTGCAGTCAACACTGTTGGAGTCGATGCTGCTGAAGTCAATGGCACTGCAGTGAATAATGCAGAAGTCAACGCCACTCCAGTTCATGCCACTGTATTCAATGCTGCTGGAGTTAACGACAACGCAGTCAACACTGCCGGAGTCCACACCGCTGCAGTCAACACTGCTGATGTCAATGTGGCTGAAGTCAAAGCCACTGCAGTGAATGCTGTTGAAGTGAATGCCACTGCAGTCACTGCCACTGCTGCCAGTGATGCTGGCGTTCATGCCAACTCTGCTATACTCGTCTCTGCCAGATACAATCGCCCTGAAGGTCAGTTGTGCACAGGTGTGCAGCAGCCAGCTCACTCTGCTGATGCAGTGAGTGGTGGATGGAAAGGTGATGGAGCTATGAATGATTCTGGAAGAGGGATGGATTTAACCCCTCTGTGGTCTACGTCGCCGGTGCCACACACAGAACAATCCGTCTGCAAGCAAGGCGAGTGTGTGCATGATGCTGGAGATGGAGATAAAGATGGAGATGGAGATGGAGATGGAGATGGAGATGGAGATGGAGATGGAGATGGGAATGGAATGGATGGTGGGCAAGATACTGTGACATGGCATTCTGACACAATGACACCCGGCATGGATGGACGAGTTATTGATCATTGTCAGCTGATTCACAGTTACCTTCCGGCAATTGTTGCAGGGCTGAGCCTGATTGCTCCCGTCTTGGATTGCCGCTTGGCTGATGGATGTCTGCCACGTGTACTTGTCATTGGTCTGGGCGGTGGGGCGCTGCCTATTTTCCTTCATCGCCACTTTCCTTTCCAGATGGAGGTAGGACGGAATTTGAGGTGGAGGAGGGAGGGAAATGACGGTGTGTTCTTGCATGTCTCTGTGTGCATGCGTCAAGTGTTGGGAGCAGGGGAGATATTTTGTTTCCCTTAATTGGCTAGTAAGCGAAGCTGGTGCTGCAAGAAACGAGAACTTTGCGTACTTTCTTTTCTCTCTCTCTCTCTTTCGAGGAAAGAGACTTTGAGATTTTTTATCTTTCTTGATCTGGGTGCGAAGGGGTTGACTGTTTGGTTGCGTCTGAAGACTCTGATGAATTCCGCTTTAGTTTAGCCCAAGAGCTGTGAAAGAATTGTTTTTTTTGACAGACTGTTCAGGCTACCAGTGCGGGCACCGAGACTGGGTCAGGCTTGGCCAGGTTGGGGTCAGGCTTGGCCAAACTCTCCAGGCTACCAGGCTGGTCACGCAGACTGGCTCTTGCTGGCCCAGGTGGCGGCGAGGTTGGTCCAAACTGTCCACGCTATCAGGCCGGGCACCTAGGCTGGCTACGGCTCGGCCAGATTAGGACCAGGTCGGGACTAGGTTGGGCCAGAGTGTCCAGGCTAACAGGCCAGTCACCCAGGCTGGCTCTGGCCATGCCAGGTTGAGTGAAACAGCCCAGGCTACCAGGCACTAAGACTGGCATTGAAGTGGAAACGGCAGTAGCGACGGACAAGGTCTGGTCAAAATCAAAATAAAGAAAAAGAACCACTTGTACATGCACCTGGCGAAATGGGACATTCACCGCTAAGGAGAACAGTGAGGGGAATTTCCGCCGATTGGACAGTTGTTCATTTCATTGGCCCTCACTGTACCGTTCCATTCCATGAGAGGCAATTGACAGAAATGCCCCTTGGCCCTCACCTTACCAGTCCCATCAGGATTTCTTCTTTGCAAGGGGTGTGACAGCTGTCTGTTTCAGTTCAAGAAACGGCCATTGTATGCGGAATCAACCCCAATCCTCTCCCTACCCTAAAAGTGAACCTAACTGATACCAGCCAGCTGTAATCTACCTGAAAGAGTTAAGCTGTTTGGATGCACTGTCAGCTCAAGCGATGGCGCACACCTCTGACAGACCATTTGACTTCAAGAAACGCTTCTGCCTCCTCCTTGCCCCAGACCCCTTTCCTTGCCTCACACGCCCTGTCCACCTCTTTCCCATTTGGAAAGGGCTTTGTCCTGAAGATTATTGTATCCTTCAGGATTTGAACTCATAATCTGTTTATCAGCAGCTACGTGCATGTACCATTCGCCCCACAAGGCTGGCTTCACCTAACCTGAAGAAGGGCAGTTGGCAGTGTCTACCAGTTCCTCCACAAACAGTTTATGCAGAGTCAACAAGTCAATGGCCTTCCGTTGACTTGGGCTGGTCAGGAATAATCAGGACTGGTGAACATTCAATCGCCGTTCTAATCCGTTACTTCTGTGCTCTCACTCATTCAATCGCTGTGATTGCCTGTGAAATCGACCAATGACTCATTGATAAGGAACCTGGAAGGTCTGAGGGGTCAACATTTGTCCAAGGTGCTGCTGTAACAGTACAGGCGGCCTGATTCCTTCTTCATTTTTTATTTTTCATGAAGCCCGCCTTGAATAACTTCCTCGTTGCAAGAAAAAGCTTCAAGAAACTTGAAAAAAGTGAAGCAAAAATGTCCCCTCAAGTCTGATCTCTCCATACAAGCAGCCTCATTCCTTCCTTGCCTTGTTTCACCCTTTGTTGCTATGCCGTGCTTGCAAAACATTGGTGAAGGTTTTATCGCAGTGAGTAGTAGGGAAATGGAGAGCAGGGGCAGGGATATGTGGGGCCTATTTAGTAATGTCCTTGTTGCTGAATCGCATGTATGTGTGATTGTTGGTAAACAGATTATCAGTTCAAAATTCAAATCATAAGGGATGCAATGACACGCGGACCAATTTACAGGAGGGTGATGTGTCCAGGGCAGCCTGCTTGGTTGTCGTCGCTGTGCGCTGCTTGTGACGGAACTTCAACAGTTCAGCGAAATGAGTAATGAGGAGAAAGAGAGGAGTGGCAATTACATGTTAGGCGGAATTAAGACGGTTGTCTAGAGGGGTGACACTTACATGTGGGACCGATTTAGAGGGGTTATTCACGGCTGCCTGGATGTTATGGTGGTGTCTGTTTGCTGTTGCTTGCAGGTGGTGGAGAAGGACACAGAGGTCGGAGGATTATCAAAGCGCCACTTTGGTCTTAGAGAGGATGGGAGAATGAGCGTTTTCATTGGAGATGGAATAGAGTTTGTTGGGAAGGATCGGGGGAGGAGGTTATCTGGGAGTCTTGGAGATGAGAAGGAGCAGGAAAAAGTGGAGAAGAGCGAGAGTGAAAAACAGCAGGACAAGAGGAAGGTAGAAGAAGGAACAGCTATGCCAGCACAGCTTAAAAGGAAGAGAGGACTACATGCGGAGACGAAACTGGGGAAGGTAGGGTGTAGAAATGTAGAAATGAGTGATTACAATCATGAAGGGCCAGCAATGGCAGCAGAAGGAAGTACTGCTGGAGGCCTGAAGAGAAGGAGTGAGGAGATGAAGAGGTCTTCTGTGGATTCTGCATTGATGGGCATGTCGGCAGCGAATGGAGAATTAATGGGGGAGGAAAATGTGCAGCAGTTGCGATATGTCGAATGCCTAGGGTGGAGTGAGGGGATGCTATCGAAGGAGTTGGAGGAGAGGTGCTCGGCGAGCTCCGAGCTCGGGAGGATGTTGTCGGTGGGTGTGGAATTGGCACAGGGGGAGGGTGTGCAGTTGCAGCCCTCTGCTGTATCAAATGAATACGGATGTGCAGATACTCCCGCATCAGCCAGAATGTTATCATCAGAGTCATCGGACTGGTCAGAATCGTCAGATGAATTGTCAGATTTGTCCGGCTCGCTGGGATCGAATGAAAGTGATTTGACGTCGCTTTGCACGTCTTCTTCTGAGCAGGTGGAAAGCGTGCAGGCTGAGAAAAATGCCTGGGAGTCGAGGTCCCATGGAGAGGATGCAAGGGACGCAGGACATACTTCTTCCTCTGCCAATTGGGATGTCGTTATAGTCGATGTGGATGCGGGAGACGCCAGGCTCTTCGTGAGCTCACCGCCGAGTGAGTTCCTCGAGCCACGCTTCTTAAAAGCTGCGAGGAAATCTCTGCAAGTTGGCGGAATGCTGGTCTTCAATGTCGTTGCATGGTCTGGCGAGTCCTATTCTGATGTCATTCGAGTCTTGAAAACCTTCTTCAAGGACGTTTATGAAGCAGATGTTGAGGGCGACGTGAACCGGGTTGTTTATGCCATTCACAGGCGGGGTTCGAAAGGGGTAGGGGCGGACTTGAGTGACAGCTACTGCTGCAGGGACATCCCTGTCGATAAGAGGGGCTGTCTCATGCGTATTGTGCGATCAGTAACAGGTAGCTTGTGCGAGGCCATCCGTTTGGTTAGATGAGAAGCACGTGAAGACGAGTGTGCAATATAGCTGCTACTACCCTCTTTCCCTGAATACAACATACAGTCAACATAGCTGTATCATGTGGCACCGCCGGTCTTTGTTCCTATGGAAGTTTCTTGGTGGCTGTGGAGGTTCAAGTCAGACTGAGAGGACCTGTTTTGTCAGAAGGATTGCTTGAGCTATGGTACAAGGACGAAGATTATGTGGAACAGAGCTGTTGTTTGCAGATCGGGTATCAGGTATGTATTGAGTTTTTCAGTTTTACCTCATCAAGTTCCGAAACCGTTGAACAGCTGTAGGTTTGAAGATGAAAGGCTTGTTACCTGAAAGGCTTGTGGCAGGATAGTACACACTTGTAACTGTCAGTAAAGTCCGATAAACAGATCTTGTGTTCAAAACCTGATGGATAGAATACTGGTAAGGGCGATCAGTATGTCTGTGAGGCTGCAGCCCTCCGCAGCATTTTTCAGCCACTGGAAAAGAGAGGTCTAGGCTGCCCTACGTGAAGGAGGACCCGAGAAATTGACGCCAGGCCTAAGTGAAGGCCGGGGGAGGGATGTTTTGGGTCTGATCACAGGAGCCAGCGCCTGTTGCTAACCGGTAGGCCCAGCCTTACCGAGGCCGGGACCTGGGTACAGTCCCAGTAGACCGCAGACACTGCCGACTGGGTCTGGATGCGACCTCCACTGCAGAACAAAAGGAAGGAGCCGCCAGGGAGAACCCCTTCTGGCAGATTGTTGCAAGGCGGCAGTGCTGTTGCGGAGTATCCAGGAGAGCAGTGCCCAAGGAGGAAGAGAAGGTGCGGTTGGTGTGAGTGAGTGCCAGCCGTAGCTGGGCGCAGGGAAGCAGAGTGGTCAGGATGAAGGAAGGCAATGGGGACTGGCGGCTCTTCCCTGGTGTTGGCGGCGGAAGCATGTGTGAGCAGAGTCTTCGAGCAGCATTGGGCGCATAGACAGAGAGTGAGGTGTTAGAGGCTAGCGAGTGTAGATGTGGTAGGAAGCAGAGTAGGGCGGTCATGCCGCAGCAGGGCTACTAGGAGGCAAGAAGTCTGGCTTTGTTTATCAAGAGACTTCAGTGTTATGTTTGCTCCTCATTGGTGTGCATTCCGCTTTGGTATTCTGCTTTCAACTCGGCTCAATCATGCTTGGTCTTCTATGAGATTTCGCGTTCTGGAAAATTGGTATTCTCATTGCATGGTTCCTTGCATGTCCCCCTTTTAAAATTATACTCATAAACACGAAGATTGATCGATACTGGAAAGAACACATTAATTTTTTTCCCACCAATCCAGGCCTAATGTGTTGACGTCAGCCAACGGGAACACTGTGCTGAGTGTCGTCTGCATGTTAGTGAGCGACTTGTCCATGAGACGGTTAAATTTAGAATTCTAAGGATTGCATGGGGATGGCACTATGTTTTTTAACTGCCAGTTTTTCTTGTTCTTCCTCTGTAAAAAGGTAGGTAGGACCTACTGGGACGCGATCTTGATGTGTCTGTGCCCAATGTGGAGGAAAACTTGGTAAGTTGCCCTAAAATAACTGACGGGCTATTTGGCCAAGCAAATAGCCAGTTAGCTTAATAGCCAACAAATAACTGAATGGCCAACTAGGCAAATTGCCGAATAGCCGAATTGCCTGCTCCAGGCTTTCTCGCTACTGTCATCAATCGGAACCAGATATCTAGTCGGTGTGATTTGGTTGTTTGGCCAGTCTATAAATAATGTCTGGTTCCTGCCACAGTCACAAAAAGAGTCTTCATGAGGGTGCTGGCCATGCAGCTTGTACTCTTCTCAATCTGTCTTTGCCAGCATCTGACCATCCCCTTTTCAACCTTAAAAAGCAAGTGGACCCGCTGCCGTCACAGGGTGGGCCCGTAAAAAAGATCTGAAATAAGTATGTGGAGACATGTGTTGTGAGCATGTTGAAAATCGCTTGAAAGCCTCTCTCTCTCTCTCTCTCTCTCTCTCTCTCTCTCTCTCTCTCTCTCTCTCTCTCTCTCTCTCTCTCTCTCT